CGGTACCTCAACACCAGGAGCTCCACTCCGGAGGCTGCAGCGCCGAGCGTACCACTCACATAGCCGCCGAGGGGAGGGAGGCTTTGGCTGCGACACGGCACCCGCAGGACGACTAGCCCCAGCTCCAGCAGACCCCCCAGCTCCAGGAGCCCCACGACGAAGGCTGCAACGCTGGGAGTACCACTCACGCAGCTGCTGTGAAGCAGGAGCGCCAGCAGGCGCAGTACGGTCAGTCTCAAGGTCCCCAGCCTCAGTCCCTCGAGGCACAACACCCCCAGTCGCAGCACCTCCAGGCTCAGCACCCGCAGTCTCCGCACCTCCAGGCTCAGCACCCGCAGTCTCCGCACCCCCAGGCTCAGCACCCCCAGTCTCCGCACCCCCGGGCTCAGCACCCCCAGTCTCAGTGCCCCTAGACCCAGCACCAGCAGGCTCAGCACGCTCAGCACCTCGCGCAGGACCAGAGTCAACAGCTACCTCGACAGGCTCGACCAGGTCTACCTGGGAAACACTTGAGGGAGCAGCATCCTGGGGAGGCAGGGGGTCTACCGAAGCAGCACCTGGCATGAGAAAGAGCGGCGGAGGGGGGAGCGGGGCAGTGCGGTAGGGAAAGAGACGGTAAAAGGGTACCGACTCGTCAAAGGTGATGTCTTGAGAGGCGAAGGCCCGGCGCGAGGTGGGGTGGTAAAACTGCCAACCAGGCGCGTCAGGGACAAAGCCAAGGAAGACACAGGGAATGGCACGGGAGGATAGCTTGTCCGCGGACGTATCGCGGACAAAGGCTCGACATCCCCAGACTCGGAACACCGACGCATCGCCAACCTCCCCCGTCCAACGCAGGGTTGGCGAGGTCTCCGGAACAGAGACACGGGGCCAGAGGTTGAGCTGATGCGCGGCGTACCGCACTGCAAACGGCCACACGAAATGGGGGGCAGCTGCATGGATCATGGAGGTACGAGCGACCTCCATGACAAGACCAATGCGGTGCTCAGCAATCCCATTCTGCTGTGGAGAGGCCGGGAGCGTGAACGACTGGGTGATGCCGTGCTACGCACAGTAAGCTGCCAAGAGGTCGGAGGAAAACTCGCCACCTCTGTCAGAGTGCAGACGCAGGACTGGAAAGACGGACTGGAACCTCTGGCGGAGCTGGAGACGACCAGCGCGGATCCAGGGGATCAAGACATCAGGGACCTCACCCTTGGTACGCAAGGGGAAGACCGTGGTGTAGCGCGTGTAGTCGTCGACGACCAGCAGAAAGTACCGCTCGTGGCCCTATCCCGGGACGCGGGCGGGGCCCCACACGTCCAGGTGGAGAGTCTGCAGGGGAGCCTCTGTGGGAGGGAACGAGGAGGAGTGAGGAGCGGCGCGCTGCCGCCCCTCGACACAGGGAAGACAGGGAGACAAGGTACCTGGAGTGCATGCCGCGAAGGCGCTGCACTGACGGGTGACCAAGGCGGTGGTGCCAGAGGACAGTGCTGTGGGACAAGGAGCAACACGAGCAGGGGGCAGACAGCTGACCTGACGTAGATGCAGACGCAGCTACCTGAGGAGACTCAGTGGTCAGTGTGTACAAGTCCGACCCCGGCTGCCGAGTGAAGGTAGCGAGGTGGCGTCCCGTCCGAGCACACGTGCAGTTCATCACACGCTCGTAGGCCGGGGTGAACTGGTGAACACCCGCGTCCTGGAGTGCGGAACCCGCCACCAAGTTCGTAGAGAACGAGGGGATGTAGAGGCCCGACAGCGTGCCAGACGGGACAGCAGGACAAGGGAGGGCAGTGGTGGAGGTCGCAAGGACCGGACCCCCTGAGGGGTCAGCCAGAGAGACAGCAACCGGTCGAGGAAGCTGCTCTAGGGCAGTGCGGTCACAAAAGAAACAGCGGGAAGCACCTGAGTCTAGTGTGAAGGTGTGTAGTGCCTCAGTAGGTGCTGTGCAAGCAGACGCAGACGCACTAGCACCTAGGGCAGCAGCCTCACCAGGACCTAGAGCAGCAGACGCGTCAGCACCTAGAGCTGCAGCCTCACTGGTTCCAATGCCCGGGTCAGGCGGAACACTCAGGTAACAGTCACCCTCAGCACTAATAGCCAATGCATACATAGCAGCAAGAATAGCATCATAGTCAAGAGCGAAGACATCAATCCTCTTCTTAAGCAGATCAGCCCAGCGGGGCAGCTCAGAGGCGTCAGGAAACTGCTCGCGCCAGACGTCGTCGAGGCGAAAGAAACAGCGCTGCGCAGTGTGAAACCTCCCACAAGTCTGGCCAGTGCGGTCACCTGTGCGGATGACATACGGGCAGGTACCCCTTCCCCCAGACCCCCCACGCTGAGAGTACCAATCACGGAGCTGCTGAGGCGAGGGAGCCTCGCCGGGGCGCTGCTGCTGCTGCCTCTGGCCACCACCAAACCCCCTACGCTGTACCGCTCCACCGCGCCCGCCACCAGCTCCACCGCCGCCATCATTGCCAGCACCACCACCACCACCCCCACCACCGTCGCCGCCGCCACCACCCCCAGTGCCGCCACTGACCCCCCCACCACCCGCGCCACTCCCACTCCCGCCACCACCCCCGCCCCCCCCACCTCCTACACCGTCGTCGCCCCCGCCTCCACCTCCACCACCCCGGTCTCCCTTGCCCCTGCCGCCCTTGCGTCTCCCACTAGGAGCAGACGCGGCCCCGACTCTCTCAGCTCCGAGGAAGTCGATAGCAGCAGCAGATGCAATGGAGGGGAGGAGGGGGGAGGGGAAGCACCCCTCAAAGAAGGGGGTATGGGGGTCACCACGAGAGGCACCTACAGCTACAATGTTCTTCTCAGCTGCTAGGAGCTCTTTCTCGAGGAGATCGACAGTGAGGTCAGTGGGGGAGAGGGCGAGAAACTGGTCCCTGACAGTGCGAAGGGAGTCAGGGAGGCGGGTGACAAGGTGGTACAGTGTGAGGTATATCGGGGGGGGGGTTCTTGGCGAGGAAATCGGGGGGGAGCGCTGCACGGTAGCGGAGGTCACTGGTACGGAGGTGGGTGATGAGGTCAGCTACAGTGGCAAAGGCGGACAGGTCTGGGAAGAGGTAGGGCAGTGAGAGACGGCCTATGGCAGCTATGGCAGGTGAGGAGTAGCGCGCGACTACTGCGTCGTACAGCTCCTTGGCGGTCTTATGCTGTCCGAAGTGCTCGCGCTCATCTAACGGTAGGTGACTGCGAACGGCTAGGCGAGCGTGTGCATCACGGGTCTGCCACTGGGAGCGCGCAGTACTGTCAGCAGTAGCGGGAGGTGCGGGAGCAGCGCCTGACGTATGGTCTTACAGTGAGACATCGTCTTTGGCAGTGATCTGAAGGAACAAGTGAAGATCATCTAGCCACACCTCAAACTTAATCGGGCGACCCTCAGCGTCAAAGGTGAGAATGGATGGGGTGGCCATTGTGGCAGTAGGAACAGTAGCAGTAGTACAGTAGGAACCGGAACAGGAGTTGCTGCAGGTGGGGCACAGTAGAGCGGCGCGGCTCGGTTCGGGCGGCGCGGCTCGGTTCGGGCGGCGCGGTTCGGTTCGAGCGGCGCGGCTCGGTTCGGGTTGCGCGGCTCGGTTCGGGCGGCGCGGCTCGGCTCGGGCTGTGCGGCTCGGCTCTGTCTGGGCTACGCGGCGGCGCGCGCCTAGAGGATGTGCGCGTGGGCGGCTGTAGCGGGCAGGTCGGGGCCGCTCGTGGGCCTTACTAGCTCGCGGGTGGCCTAGGGAGGGCGTCGCGGCGGCCTACGGGTGGCTCACGGGCGGCGCGCGGCTAGGGGGGGGGGGGCGGTCGACGGGCTGCTCGTGGCGGCGTGGGCGGCTAATGGGCGGCGCGCGCTCAGGAACGGCCGCACGCGGGCTGCTAAGAGGCGACGCGCGGGAAAAAAAAAGGTCGCGCGCGGCACTAGCGAGCCGCGCACAGGCAGTAGGAGAGGACGAGGCGCACGAGGGCGCACTAGGGGAACGGCGCTCGAGGGCGCTAGGACGATGGGGCGCTCGAGGGCGCTTCTAACGGTGGGCCCTTAGGTGAGGCCTAGGTCTAGAACCTAAGCTCTGCTACCATGTCAGAATGAGAAGAAGTGTGTGAACTATGAAAAGGTGGAGTACAAGTAACAAACCCTAGTTTTTGTGTATCCCCTGAAGGCTAACCCACTATAGCCTACACAACAACAACACATACAGTGTTTGACAGAGTCGACTCTAAAATCAAGTCGTCAGGAGCAAAGGGCCAAGGGAGATGTTCTCTAGAGATGGTACAGAGCCAGAGGCCAAGGGAGGAATGACAGGGTGGGAGGAGGGTAGGAGCTTCTCGTGGTGGTGGTGGAGGGGAAGGCTGGGCAGTGAAGGAGTAAGATGAGAGGATGAGAGGCTGAGAGGCTGATAGGCTGAGGGGCTAAGAAGCAGAGATGCTAAGAGGGTGTGCTGTGCTTCCTGCTTGACTATGGCATCTCGCCCTGCTTGACTATGGCATCTCGCCCTGCTTGACTATGGCATCTCGCCCTGCTTGACTATGGCATCTCGCCCTGCTTGACTATGGCATCTCGCCCTGCTTGACTATGGCATCTCGCCCTGCTTGACTATGGCATCTCGCCCTGCTTGACTATTGCATCTCGCCCTGCTTGACTATGGCATCTCACCCTGCTTGACTATGGCATCTCGCCCTGCTTGACTATGGCATCTCGCCCTGCTTGACTATGGCATCTCGCCCTGCTTGACTATGGCATCTCGCCCTGCTTGACTATGGCATCTCGCCCTGCTTGACTATGCCATAGTCGAGATGCAACGAACAACGTACACTCACCATGATGTCTGGTCTAAGTTCTGGTCTAAGTTCTGGTTCTTAGGTGAAAAGAGATGGCATTCAACTCAACCCGAAGAACAGCAACACTCACCCTGTCCTGTCCTGTTGCCCAGCCCAATGCTAAGTTCCAGTGCTTAGGAGGAGATAACTTTGAGTCAACTCAAAGGACAAAAGCACTCACTCTGATGCTCAGGTCTAAGTTCCGGTGTTTAGGAAATGCTTTGGAAGCCGCCACGGCATAGCAGAGGGGCCCCAGGGCTTTCAGAGAGACCGCTTCCCGCCCCACACGTGCACTCCTGGAGGCAGCAACGAGAAGGGCAGACAGAAGGGCGAGTCAGAGGAGTGGGACTCAGACGTGTGGGGTGTTGTGGTGAGGGTAGCAGAGGAACCCCAGGGCCTTTAAGGAGACTGCTGCCCGCCCCACACACGCACTCCTGGAGGCAGCAAGGGGGGTGACACCGTGACAGGGGAGTGATATGGGACACAGACGTGTGAGGTGTTGGTTGTGATGGTGGAAAAGGGGTCCCAGGGCTTTCAGAGAGACCGCTGCCCGCCCCACACGTGCGCTCCTGGATGCAGGCAGGAATGGGAGAGGGGAGGGTCAGATGAAGTGTGGTTGTGGTGGGGTAGCAGAGAGGCCCCAGGGCCTTCAGAGAAACTGCTGCTAGCCCCACGCGTGCGCTCCTGGATGCAGCAACGAGAGGAGCAGGCAGAAGGGTGAGAGGGAGAGTCTGATCAGAGGTGTGCGGTGTGGTTGTAATGGAAAGCAGAGGGACACAACGAGCTTCAAGGAGAGTCACAGGTGCACATCAGCCACATTGAAGGAGCAGCGGTCCACGGCACAGGCACATGAACACAACACCTCACTGACTCGTGCATGAACAGGTGGGTGCGCATGAGCTCCTCCTCCCATCCACTCACATATGCTCCTCCTCCCAGCCACTCACAGGTGCACATCAGCCACATTGAAGGAGCAGCGGTCCACGGCACAGGCAGGAAGCTGAACTCGCCCCACGTCCATTGCCCTGCGCTGCCCTGCTGTTGGGTTGGGTGAGGAGGTAGGGAAGAGCAGAGGGATGGAGAGCGGTGTGGTGTGGTGAGGGGAACCGATGAAAGGGGGGTGGCAGGCAGGCCAGCAGCTGAACACCCCCACATCCACTGCCATGCGCTGCCCTGCGGTTGGGTCATAGGGAGGGACCCAGGGGGGTTGGTGAGGAGGAGGGGTGAGAAGAGAGCAGCAGGCAGGCAGCTGAACTCGCCCCACAGCCACTGCCCTGCGCTGCCCTGCTGTGATAGGAGAGCCAGGGGGGTGGGGGCATGAAGGGTCAGGGGGGAGCTGAAGGGGGGTGGTGAGGAGGGGTGGTGAGGGGTGGTGAGGGGTGATAGGAGGGCAGCAGGAACGCGTGCCATGTCTGCCATGCGCTTCCCTGCGGTTGGGTCGCAGGGGGGTGAGGGGTTGAAGGGGTCAGGTCAACGGTGGTGAGCGGGGGTGGCGAGGGGTGATAGGAGGCAGGCAGGTGAACACGCCCCACGTCCACTGCCAGGCCCCAGTTTAGTAGATGATTTCACAGGCCTTGATGCACACATTGCAATAAAGACTTCCACGCTGCTTTTTCCCACGAGTGAAAAGAGAGGCAGGGACCCAGGGGGGTTGAAAGGGGGAGAATGGTTGCTGAAAAGGCAGCAGGGCGTGCAAGAGGGCCACAGCTGAAGATGCTCGGCCTCTCACATTCCACTGTATCATACACATTCTCAAGCTGTAGCCCTCTCGGCATCTTGAGAATTTCTCGAGCACTGCTTCATATAACTTTGTTGTTTTGAGCATTTCCATGGACACACCACATACGAATGCAGCAGAGTGCCTTGGTTAAATTGCATCATACGGCACAACACATCACACCTCATCGCATCACCACATCCCACCACGCTACACCACACCGGACCACGCCACACCACACCGCACCACCAAAGGTTCGAGCAAAGTCGGTGCCGGTGCTGAGAAGGATGACCTGCAGGCAACGATGATGGAGAGGGTTGGGTTGGAGACAGGTTGAGTCACACCTTCATCACTTTCTTTGTAATGCTAAAGGTAGACCGTTCGCCCAGCCTTCATGGTTGATGATGCCAGTACTGCATCACTATTGAATTGACCATTTATTGACAATTTATTCAAAATTTATTCAGGCAGCAGTTACAACAATCTCCACGGAAAAACATATTCTTCCAGCATAGCAGAAAGAGCACATTCAGCCATCACGCATCAAACATAGGTGGACACACACTACAGCCAATCAACTCACCCACCAACCCCATTCCCCTGCTACTCTTGCCTGATTCGATTCACTTCTTTGTCTTAGCCAGAGCCAGAAACGAAGCGCCTTGGACTTAGCCTTCAGCTTCACCTGCCTCATCTCCTTCGCCTGGTCAAAAACCGTTCCTTCAGTCCTCCTTCTCTTCCTCCTCCGCAGCTATTCTTCCATATGTTCTCCACATTTTCGTTCATCTTATTCCCCCCATCCTTCCTCTTACTGCCCCCATCCTTCCTCGTGTTGCCCCCATCCTTCCTCGTGTTGCCCCCATCCTCCCTCGTGTTGCCCCCGTCCTCCCTCGTGTTGCCCCCGTCCTCCCTCGTGTTGCCCCCATGCCTCATATTGCCCCCAGCCTTCCTCTTATTCTCCTCATCCTTTCGCTTATTCTCCTCATCCTTTCGCTTATTCTCCTCATCCTTTCGCATATTCTCCTCATCCTTTCGCTTATTCTCCTCATCCTTTCGCTTATTCTCCTCATCCTTCCTCTTATTCTCCTCATCCTTTTGCTTATTCACCTCATCCTTCCACTTATTCTCCGCATCCTTCCTCTTATTATCATCATCCTTCCCCGTATGCCCATCGTCCTTCCACGTATGCCCCTCGTCCTTCCTCGTATTTCCACCTTTCGTCCCACCCTTTTTCCCGCCCTTCTTTCCGCCCTTCCTCTCGCCCTTCTTCCCGCCATTCTTGCTCCTCCTCGGCTCTTCCGCTGCCACTTCAGCATCCGCGCCTCCCCCCTGCAGCGGCGCGGAGAGCATTGCGTCCGCCGCCGCCAGAACGCGAACAGCCCGCGCCTGGGGCGACTCCTCCTCCTCGCGCTCATCCATGAGAGCACGGATGCTATAACGTATCGCCCTCACATCCGCGTTCTCGCGAACGCCGCCCGGCGCGCCGAGAGCGCCATGCGCGAAAGTTGCGGCGAGAGTGGGGTTCACGACATCATCCGCCGTCGCGGCGGGAAGGAGCACGGCGGCGACAATTAGCGTACAAACAAGGACCAGGAAGGCGCGAATGACAGTCATGACTGCTGAAGATATCGAAAGATACTAATAATACTCGGAGTATTTGCCTTTGTGGCCGTAAACTGGTGGCTAATGATGGAGATGAGAGGAAGTGCGAGCAGTTAAATACTGCCGCGAGTTCCATGGCTCTGGAAATATGGCGCGATATTTTGTTGCGCCGAGTACGGAGCTTCTAAGCGCGTTCGAAGCACTCGAGTAGGGAGCTGATCAAGGAGTTGCCGTGAAGCGCGGGTGCGATTATTTGACCTGCTGGCTACCCCAGCGCAATTCTGTTTTTGACGTGGTTGTATGGTTGGACTCCTGCTCACTTGTGAGGGAGTGAGAAAAATCGGAGTCGAACTCCTGCTGGTTACCCTCGCGAAGGGCATTGCCCTGCCAATAATGCCAAAGCTGGCTGGAAGAATACACAAGCTGCTCATGCGCGAGGCCTCCTGCAAGGAGCGATCGAGTGGATCTCGACTTCGCCACTCTCGCCAACCACCTTGCATTTCCCCTTGGCATTTCCCCACTGGTTACTCACTAAAATGCTACAGCGATGTGATAAGCACTCCGGATGACAAGTAGCGACAGCAACACAACGAATATGTACAGATAAGTAATGAGAAAAGATCATCACAACATAGACCACATCAATTCCACCGCGGTAATGTTACTCAATTTCTTGCTTGATGAAACATTATCTTGAACTGTCTCAGAATAGGGAATGCAACGGAATGGTCAAACTAGGAAGTGTGGAAGTACAAATATGCAACCCTAACAACTGTACTCCCTATTGTGCTACTCACTGTAGCCTACAAGCATAGAATTACATTTGACATACCCCCATAGGCTAAGTGAGGGGCATCAAAGCAAGCAAGGTGAACAAACGGTCACAAGACCAGTCAAAGCAAGAAACAGGGCAAGCTCAGGGTGGATCTCAAGGACACCACACAAATTCCAAGCACAAGCAAACGGCCACAAGGCCAGTTCAAGAGTTCACTATGATATAAATAGGAAACACAACAAGCAGAGCAAACAACAAGTCTACAGCAACCGAGGGCCTACCTCAACAAGCCCCAACTGCACACAGAACCGGTGGTGATCACCAAGCGCCAAGGCCTTGGTGAAGACGTCTGCAGTGTTGGCCTCTGAGGCCACAAGGTACAGGCGTGCCTGGCCACGTCGCTGCAGCTCTCGCAGGAGGAAGTACCTCACGTCAATATGCTTCACTCTGCTCTCCAGTCGAGGCTCTCGACACAGGAGGAACATGACCTTGTTGTCAGCGTACAAGGTCGGTGCAGAACGAGGCCGCTCACCAAGGTCGGAGAGCAAGAAGGTCAACCAGCGAAGCTCCTGTGCCGCCATGGCACCAGTGTAGATCTCTGCCTCTGCACTGGAAGTAGCCACAGACGACGACCGTCTAGACCTCCACGACACAGCACCAGCTCCCAGACTGAAGCAGTAACCCTGAGTCGAGCGCTGAGTCTCCACGTCGTCAGCGTAGGAAGAGTCGCAGTGACCAGTCAACGCCACTGGCTGAGTCCCTCCAAGCACAAGCCCCATGCCTGATGTAGTCGCCAGGTACTTCGCCACCCTCACAGCAGCTGTCCAGTGGACAGGTCGGTGTCTCCCAGTCGCAACAAAGCGAGAAAGGATGCTGAGGGGAAAGGCGAGGTCCGGTCGAGTACAAGTCATCAGGTACATGAGGCAGCCTACCAGCTCTGCGTAGGGTCCACTGGACTCGAAGGGCTCGTCAAGAAAGGGGCCCGTGAGTCTGTGGTCAACAGCAAGAGGAGTGGGCTGTGTGGTGGAGAACTGGAAGTCGAACCGCCGAAGGACCTGCTGCACCATGTGTGACTGCGTCAGTGTGATGGTGCGAGCGGCTCTGTCCCGGGTGATCTGCAAGCCAAGGTAGCGCTGCAGCTCACCCAGGTCAGTACACTTGTGTCTCTTCTGCAGTTCGGACTTCACCTGAGCCAGGGCTGCCCTGTCAGCTGTAGCAAACACCAAGTCGTTGACGTAGACAAGGATAAAGAACGGAGTAGAACCCGCTCGAACAAACAGCGACGGGTCGGCGGAGGACGGGCTGAACCCAAGGTCACGAAGCGTGGAGCGAAGAGTGTCGTGCCACTCACGGGGCGACTGGCAGAGACCGTAGACTGGTCGCCTCAGGCTCCACTGGGTCCCAGGTGGGAAGGTGTCAGTGAAGCCAGGAGGACGGCGCAGCCAGATCTCCTCGTGCAGTCGGCCCTGGAGGAACGCAGTGGAGAAGTCGAAGGAGTGCAGCTCGTAGTCTCGCAGCGTTGCTATGTGGAGTAACACCCGAAGAGTAGTCATCTTCGGGGTCGGGGCGAAGGTCTGGAAGAAGTCAACTCCCTCACGCTGACTGAAGCCCCTAGCCACGTAGCGCGCCTTGAACACCGGCGGTGCTCCAGGCGGCTGCTTCTCCTTGAAGAGCCACATGCCATCCACTACGTTCGCCCTGGGAGGGGGAACTGCGACGACGTAGGTGCCTCTGGATCTCCAAGATGCCAACTCTGAGTCCATAGCCGCTTTCTAGTGAGAGGCCCACGCCCCTGACACTGCCTCGCGGTAAGTGCGAGGAGTCGGTATGTCAAGGGCGTCGGGGTCTCCCTCAGGGGAGGGCAGCATGGCGCACATAGAGGGAGAAGCGGCTGCCCAGTACTCCAGCTCAGACTCTCTGTCCTCTAGGACGTCACAACCAAGGGCAAACCCACCCCCGACGGACAGAGGACGGTAGGGAGGAGCTGGCACCACCCGGGTGGCATAGTCAAGGCGGCTGGCGGCAGCAAACTCAGCGACAGCGGCAGTAAGAGCCGAGGCAGACGACGGAGGGAAACGAGAGTTAGTGACAAGAGTGGCGAGGATACGTGCGGCAACAAGACGAACAGTGCGGTAGTAGTCAGTTATAGGAGTGGGGAGGGCTGGGAGAGAGGACGGAGGAGGAGACGGGAGAACGGACACAAGAGAAGGAGAACGACGACGGGACGAACAAAGGAGGGCAGTGTGGAGGTCAGTAACAGGGGACGAGTGACGAGCACGCGGAGGACAACGAGTGATCAAGTCGTGACGGACAGAGTGAGGAGGAGACCGAGGAGGAGGAGAAGACCAGACCGCCGGACGGTCGTCAAGAGGAGGCAAGGGAGGAACAAGCACAGGAGGAGACTGGGAGCGGACACGAGGAGAGGAGGAAAGGCCAAGGGCCCGCAGGCCACTCACAAGTGGGAACAACTGCCGCTCCAGAGGAAGCTGCGGCTGCTGCTGCTGCCGCTGCTGCTCCAGAAGGTTCAGCACCCGCAGCTCCTGCCGCTCTCTCTCCAACCGCTCCTGCTCCTCACGCTCACGCCGACGGGCAGCCTGGAGACGCGTGTCGTGGCGGTGGGGAGGCGGAATGGACTCCGCAGAACCAGGGTCTCCAGCGTCAGTCTCCTCAGACTCAGCACCCCCAGAACCAGCACCTCCAGTGCCAGGACCTCCAACTCCAGCACCCCCAGAACTAGCACCGCCAGTGCCAGCACTGCCAACTCCAGCACCCCCAGAACTAGCACCTCCAGTGCCAGCACCTCCAGCTCCAGCACCCCCAGAGCCAGCGCCACCTACGCCAGCACCTCCAGCTCCAGCACCCCGCGACCGAGCACCCCCGGACCGAGCACCGCCAGCGGCTGCACCTCCAGCTCCAACACCAACCGAGTCCACAGTAACCTGTCGCGGAAGTGCCGAAGGCTGCTGAGGGGACTGTGAGGAGGACTGCGGGGAGGGAGACGCTACCTGACGCGCGACCGAGGGTAGAGGGGTAGCGTGGGACACACCAGACGGGGCAGGACCAGGGGGGGCGGGGGTACCGGAGGAGCAGGAGAAGGAGGAGGAGAGGGTGCTAGGAACAGGGGGGGAGGGGGTACCGGGAGACCTCGACAGGGGTACCGGGTGTAGTAGGACACAGACTCGTCAAACCGGACGTCACGGGAGTCTAGGAACTGGTGGAGGGGCGGGTGGTAAAAGGACCAATCGGCTGAGTCCACTGGGAAACCAAGGAAGAGACAGGGGACGGCGCGTGCCGAGAGCTTGTCCGCGGAGGTGTCGCGAACAAGTGCAAGGCAGCCCCAGACTCGAAAGGCCGACCCAACACCAGGGGAACCAGTCCAAAGACTGGTCGGTGAAGCCTCGGGCCGCAACACATGTGGCTGGAGGCTCAGCTGGTGTGCGGCGTAGCGAACCGCGTGAGGCCACAGAAAATGGGGCGCACGGGCATGGATCATGGACGTGCGGGCGATGTCCATGACCAAGCCTATGCGGCGCTCAGCAACCCCATTCTGCTGTGGGGACTTTGGCAGTGTCCAGGACTGGGTGATGCCCTGTTCGCCGTAGAATCTGCCGAGAATGCCGGAGCGAAACTCGCCCCCACGGTCGGAGTGAAGATAACTGACTCGACGACCACAAGTGCCCTCAGTGGCTAGAAGCCACCTGATCAGCGTAGCAGTCACCTCGGACTTCTTCGCAAGAGGGAACACTGTGGTGTACCTGGAGTAGTCGTCGACGACCACCAGAAAGTAATGCTCTCTCCCAGACCCCTGCGTCGGGGCAGGGCCCCAGACGTCCAAGTGGAGAGTCTTGAAGGGAGCGGTGGCCGGACGAAGGGAGGAGGAGTGGGGAGTGGCGCGTAAGCGACCGGCGACGCACGGAGAGCAAGGAGGGGCAAGCAAGGGAGGGAGCGACGGGAAGGTGCGTGGGAGACCTGTGACAAGTCCCTGACTGAGCATGCCACGAAGGCGAGGGATCGACGGGTGGCCAAGGCGGTGGTGCCACAGGACTGTGCGGTGGGCGAGAGAGCGACAGGAGCAAGACGCAGCGACTGGACTGGACACAGCGACCGGACTGGACACGACTACCTGGCTAGACACAGCAACTGGACTGGGGACCTGGGCTGGAGGGGACGCAACGACCTGAGGGGAGGACGCGACCGGGGAGCGCTCGGTGTGGAGAACGTAGAGATCGGAGCGGGG